GGGCCGATGGAAGAATGCGCTGCGTTGGTTTGGCTGTTGCCCTGCCACGACTTTCGCTGGTGGATTGACCCGCACTGCTGTGGCGACTGCGATATGCAGCTCAAGTGGTGTCATTCTAGTGGCAGTGGCAGGATGGACAGAACCTTGCATGTTGTTGTTGGCTGCCTGCACAGAATGCTGCAGTTGCATCTCGAAGTGCAAGGGGAATTGCGCCTTTCCTCATACAAGAAAGCCTCCCACAGTCTTGAATAGGACCATGGCATTTGTTACATTCTTGGCAGCATGTTGTAGAATTATCGAATCCACGGTCAGTGCTCCCAGCTGTGCCGGCCAACTGGAATCCTGCCATAATCGCATGTTGCATAGCCCTTTGCAGAAACACCAGCAGTAGCCAGTTGGTCACTGCACGGTGCTTGCATCCACAAGAAAGTTCTATAACTTGTTCGGAGCAGCGCTTGATATCCATCACACTCTGCCCATAGCATGTCAGAACTTCTGCGAATGTGATTTGTTTAACATATGGCACTCAGACTTGTCGCTCTGCACTCTCAGGGCACGAGCCTGCGTAACGGTGGCCATCTGCTCGCTGACCCTCACATATACTCCAAGAACTCGTACCGCTTTGGGCCATGCGACAAGGGGGCGGAGGGCATGGCGGCCTTCCTCCAGACGCATGTCTGCAACCATCTCTGCGAGAGGCTGATCGGGGCCGGGAACGAGAGGAAGCGCAGCCTCAGCCGGGCGAGCAAGACGGCGAGCGTGAACGGCCGGCGGAGCTTCCAGGGAGGAGCGCTTGGAATGCCCAAGGCGCCCAAGCTGTGGACGGTGCAGCCCGTGTGCTCCGTACAGTCCATGCAGTCGCTGCAAGATGTGGAGACCATCAGTCAGCAGGAGTGGCTGACGCCCAGGTCAGGCAAGCCGGTGAAGCATGAGTGGTCGCCGATGTGGAGGGCCCTGAAGAAAAAGGGGAAGGTGTGAGGAACGGAGGGGGCGAGCAATGGGAGGCTCCCAAACGAGGAGCAGGGCAGTTTGGACGTGGTTTGGAAGGGCACAAGGTGTGCAGCCTTTCTGAAGGTGTGAGTGGAGGCCCAGAAGAAAATCAGAGTTGGTTTTGACGTTGTCTGGAAGGGCACGATGTGTGCAGTCCTTCTGAAGGTGTGATTGAAGCCCCAGAAGGGAATCAGGATGGAAGGGCGCAAGGTTTGGAGTCCTTCTGAAGGTGTGAATGGAACCCCATGTTAGAATCAGGGTGGTTTTGGCGCTGTTGCGGTGTACCTGGCCCATGAAGAAGCCATGAGATGCGGATAGCAGCGTGGCAACAGGCAAGGATCGTGACGAATTGTTCATCAGGCAAAGTCGGCTAGTCTTGTTGTGATCTGTAGGTATTCGAAGGGTGTGCTGGCGGCGGCTCGCTGCTGCGCCACGTGGCAATAATTGCTGCGGCACACAGAGGCACGTCGCCATTTTCTTTTCGTGCACCTGGGGGCTGGCACGGGAATAAGAGCATGACTGCGTGGGGGAGACGTATCAAGTCAGCCCGCACGGTTTCAATGTCTGTATCAGTTACTACACCTCCGTTCTGTATTTGCTTGTGGGAATCGACTTGCCAGGTCGTGCTGCCGTGCTTCACGCCAAGCCCTGCCACGGCGCTGCATGTCGGAGGTCCCACAAGCCGGCACGTCATCGAGGGCGGCGTTAACTACTTTTCGTTGTCTAGCTAAGCGTCGTTGTCATAGGGTGCGTTGAAATTGGGGCACGCTACATTGTGCGGCACTTGATACATGGCGGGGGGTCTGGAAAGGCCATGGTGGCCTAGAATAAGTGTGGGAATTGGGGCGAGGTGGAAACTCGAATTGATGCTTCCTGCAGGGAAGGCTGGGGACCTTTGTTGGGATAAGCTACCGAAAGGATTGGCCGTTGGACTGAAAGCACTGAAGTAGAGAAATCGCAGTATCAGACTGTATGATTGGTGTATATTATTTCAATTATGTCGTGGGGGTGAGGTTAATTTGGCTAAGTGTTGGGTGTGCGCAAGAAGCGCTGCTGGACATCGTGGTGCATCCGATGTTCAGAAGCGCCTGTAGCATTCATGTTGAGATTGCGGCAGCGCACGTTGGTAGCTCGAGCTGGGGCTTCGGAGCGCACACTGCACATGCGACGCGTTGTCCGTTCGCGACTAATCCAGCCGTCTGAGTCTCGGCGCAGCCTGCCGGCACTGGTAGAGCCTCACACCTGGCCACATTTGATGCACCTGTCCTCGCCAGCCGGAACATGTGCCTTTCGCACCTCGCTGGAGGTGGGCACCGTGCAGTTATGGTTGAGGAAGGTGCCTGCACTTGGAGGCGCCTATCGCGCCAAATTGTTTGCGGGTTCCCTGCGAACATGCCATTGAGGAACCTTGCGGACTCGTGCCTCAGAGCTGTCTTCTTTTCCCTATTGGCTAGAGAGTCCGCGCTCCACGCGTGGGCACCACATGCAAACGGCGGCTGAAGAGAAACAAGGAATGAGCAAATGGCATGCTATGTACGGAGAGAATTGCACAGAGTGAATAGTGCCGTCGCTGGCGATATTAAAGCCTTTTAGGCAGCTCTCGGCCTGCCTGACTACCTTGCCCTCCAATGCCCTTAGTGCAGCCGAACTCCACCGCGCTGGACATGGAAGCAGAAGACGCTCGTCGACAGAGCGACGATTTGGATACCAATTCAATTCAAGAAAACTGGTTTAAGCTTCGTAACCCATGGTAAGATTTGATTCATGCTTTGACCTGGCAGCAATTGCGAGGGCTCTCGAACTGTGGCATTATGATTCAATTCTTGGCAATAATTGTTCGATGAAATAGGGCAATATCAATATAACATTGACGGAAATGGATACATGATTGTATTTGGGCGATGATGCTGGTATGTATGTAGCCAATTCTGGGCTGACCTGGCGCTTTCCCGCCACGCCGCAACACCACTAAGGAGCAGCCCAATAAAGCCAGATTAGCCAACGTCAGTTAAAGTCCGTTTGTTCAACGCTACCTGGCAGCGGAACAACGGACAGATCCCGTGAAATAAATGTATTTGGTCACATGACCACAATGGGATTCTTGCGATCCCACGGCCACGATCAGGTCGGCAATGTACCCCCACGAACAGTTTACTGCTGCAACGTTGCAACAAGCCTTCAACAGTACTCTAATTGCATTACAACCTTGTGTAGGTACAATTACATCAGAACTATAGGAGCAACAATGCATAATTACATTACAAAATTGTGCTGGTATACTCACATTACACTATGAACATAAACTGCAATCTGCAAGTCCGATGCGGAGGTTCTGGCGCGAAGAGACGGCCACAGCGTGCACACAAGTCGAGAGGAGAGTATACTCGGTGGGGATGGGCAGTGCTATTTCGCTTCGCAATGGGGGACCGATTTGATGCACGCACACCGCTGTCATTGAGCAAAACCGGGGGGGATCATTTGCCATTTGCCATTGATGGAGCCTCGCGGGTGTGGGAGCAAATGTGGCCGCGACGTGCGAAGGTTTTCATATCAACTCGTTGAGGTGCTTTCCGTTACTGCTCGGAGACCTTTATGTGCTTCATGTCAGAAATACGAGCGGCAGAGCTGCACAGCTTTCTACAGAATGTTGCGGAAAGTTTTTTTAGCTATTTTTCTTCAGTGCAAATGTATGCTGAAAGACGTATTTGTTGTAGCAATTGTTTGAACTAGCACCTATCCAGTCACCAGTATTTGGTGATTAGTGGAAATGCACAAGGCGTCCACCACGTGCCCGAGCACCATCCACATCTTCCATGTCGCTCCTGGCAAGCCGCCAAGTCGCAAATGTAGTGAAAATTTGGCTGCAACTCAATTGCAAAGCCGGAAACATCATTTACCCATCCCAGGGTTGTTTGGCACCACGACGCGCAGATGCGCAACCCAAAATCTGTCGTACGACAAGAGCCATGCGTTCCACGAAAGCCCCCACCATGCGTAAAGATTCCTCCAACCCCGGACACACACACCCTGGCGCGCCCGAGCATCACCAACCTCCCGTTATGTCGAAGCTGCCCGTACCCCCAGCGTATCCGTCAGTCATTCCGTCAATGAAGTCGCTTGTTTTATGAGACACCCGTTTCGGCGGCGCAGTGCTTGAAAGATCCTTGTGTACCGCTCGTGGCGGCGGCCGTTCCGATGGGCCTGTTGGCCACTCCCGCCCAGGGAGACGTCCACATTCCAACCCGCCCACAACATCCCCCCTTTTCAAAACGCCCAGAGCTCTCCAAACACTCGGGGCGGCGGCAAAACAAAAGCAGAGCCCAGAAAAGCAAGACCAAAGCAACGTGTGGACGTCCAGGGGTTCCCGAGCTCGGCGGCGACCGCAAACACGGCAGCCCAGAACAGCAAGATCAAAGGAACCTGTGGACGATGGGGCAGTTCACGATGAAGCCAGACGAGCCGTAGGGGGCGCCGTCGGGCCCCGTTATAAAACCCCTCTCCACCAGGCCCAGGATTTGGAACTCCTCCAGCAGGCGCACGCGGTAGTTGTTCTCGACCGCGTACTCCGTCCAGGAGCCGACGTTGACGTCCCACAGGGGGCTGTAGTCGGTGGCAATGGTGGGGATGCCGCCCAGGACGTTGAGCGGGAAGCCGTCGCCCCTGACGGCGCTGTTGAAGCCCTGCCGGGTGGGGTGGGACGTCTCGCCGGGGCCGTCGTTGCGGCTGGTGACGTTGATGTCTGCGGCATGGATGAGGTTTGTTGCGAAGAGGAAGAGGAATGGGCCGCACAAAGGAGTGCGCGCGAGGCTCTTTTCCGTGCGGTGGAAAGAGGCGAGGGCAAGATTTGTTGCGAAGAGGAAGAGAAACAGGCCATACAAAGGGCAACCCCTCCTGACCGAGTGTGTGCGAGACTCTTTTCATGGTGTGGAAAGATGATGTAGAGAAGCGGCAATGTGTTCAGTGGAGAATGTTACGCTCAGAAGCGCCACGGTAAACCGGGGCCGTCGTTCGGACCAGTGACGTTGATGTCTGTGCAGCGCGGCGGGGGTGAAGGTTTTGCAAAGAGAAACAGGCCATGCACAGAGCGCCCTAGTGGCTTTGATGTCGGCGCGTTGGGGCAAGTGCAAGTTTTGTTGTGAGGGGAAAGAGATCGCGCAAAAGGCACCCAAGCGCACATCGGTGATGGTGGTGTCTCCGCGTGGCTGCAAGTGTAAGATTTGATGCCAGAGAGAATGGGAAGCAGGTCATGCAAAGGGCACCCGCTCCTCCGCAAATGTGTACGAGACTCTTTTTGCACGCTGCGGACAGATGATTCGTTACAAAGAGAAAGAGGAACAGGTCATGCAGTGGGTGACCCCGAAAGATCAATTGCATGTGGAACACCTTTCTATGCCGCGAAAAGTGATGCACAGTCGCGGCAAGGGAGTCCGTAGAGAGTGTTGCGCGAGAGACGTCCCCTGGTGTGTTGGCGTCTCGGATTGTGGCGCATCATGATACATTGGAATCTGGGAGACATGGCGAGTAATCGGGTGGAGAGTACCGAGCATGGGGATAGAAGACTGTTTTTGCGTCTCAAGTCACTTGGCCTGGTGTCGAAAGGGCTTTGGAAATTTGAAGCCGTGGCAAGGCATCTCCGCCGTTTCTTGCCTGTTAACTAGTCCGTGTATCAAACCATGGTCTAATTTCATGGAAACCGTGACACAGCGGTTGCGCGGTTACATCAATATCAGAAATTCGGGCGCTGAAACGCCTAAATGCTGAGAAAGTGTCTGTAGCGGGAGAGCGTTCAGATTACGATTGAAGGGTGTGCGATTTGCTCCAATGACATCTCCGTTATTCAGTGTCCATCCTATTACTTCTTGGTGCTGTATTCCCCCTTCAATTCCCTTCATAAATTTCATATCTCTGCATAGAGATGTGCACAGAAACTTCATCACAAAGTTAATGGGTGTCGCGCGCCAGGGACTTCTTACCTCCGTTGGTGAAGC